GGATGTAGATAAAAGATAGGAGCGTGATTGCTGGGTGGGAAGAAAATGATGATGATAATGGTGATGAAGATGACAAGATCAATACCACAGGACATAATGAAAGTGATAATAAAAAATAATTGCAATGACGCTTTTGGCTTTGATGCAAGCAAGACAAGTTCAAAACCACCACGATGATGACGATGATGACAACGGTGATGATGATTATGATTGTAACAATGATGGTGCAGACGACGACGATGATGATGACGATGATGGTGATAAATAAATTTTCTTGATAGTGACAAAGAGGAAGTTGGTAATTTTTATAATTATATTTTGCTGATGATATCATAATCATTCTCACATTTATTATCATCGTCATCATCATCGTCATCATCATCATCGTCATCATCGTCATCATCAACATCGTCATTATCTTCTTTTTCTTCATCATCGTCGTCATCATCATCCTTCTAAGAAAGACAATTTGACGCTAAACTTATAAATGGTCTCCATAATAAGAATAATGCTGGTAGACATGATAATGATGATGACGAACGTTTTGATCATTATCATGACGATGATAATAAATATGAGTAAGATGATGACGATGACGGTTAATGACATGGCGTTTGACTGATAAAGTATTGACTTGGACGGAAAATGATGATGATGATGTAAGGAAAATAAATGAAGCCATTAATAAAAGAATTAAATTGTCACTTGAGAAGAAGGAGGAGGAGTGCATTTTTTGATGGTGATGTTGGAGTAGTTGGTGAGTGAGGTGAATAATTTTTATGATTATGGTGAAATTAATGATGGTGATGTGGATCAAAATGATGGTGAGGATCATTATGGTGGGTGTTATGATGACCATTGTGAAAGTGGCGATGATGATCCTGATGATTATGATAATGATGCTATAGATTAGGACGACCAGATGATGATGCTGACGTCAAAAATGACGTCACAGCTTTTTGAAATTTGAGTTTTTAATTTTTAAAGAGAAATAAATTTTTCAGACAATAACAACAACAACAAAAAAAACTATTATGAATGTTTTCGTAAAAATTGAAATATTCAGTCATAATGTTGTCTTACTACATGTTAAACGATTTTGTTACTAAATCGCAGTAAATTAAATAACTCAAAAATATTAACAAGGAGACAACACACGCATACACACACACACACACACACACACACTCGCGCGCGCGCGCGCGCGCATACATATACACACACAAACACACAAACACGCACACACACAAACACGCACATCAAAGCATTATACTTAATCAAGGTTGTTTGTTATAATAAAGAGAGATAACTTTTTAATTAAAACAATTTCAATAATGAAAGTTGAATATTATTAAAAAATAAAAAGTGGAAAAGTATGTCAACGGTGGCAACAATGCTTACGAATATGCAGTAACCTTAAGAAAGATCATTTATTATAAATCGATGAGATGAATTTCTTAACATTTTTCAATAACTGTTAATAAAAAAACTTGTATAAAATCAATTGAAAAACAAGAAAGAGAAACAACAAATGAAAAAGACAAAGCAGGACAGACGGAAGAAGACACAACTGGCCAGACATCAGACATGATCTGAACGCAATATGACGAGAGGTGGACTACCTACCACAAAGTTCATGAAATTTTATAAAAAATTGACATACAATTTTAGTAAATTTTTAAAATTGCCACTAAATAATAATACCTCCATTAGTTTTTCATTAATTCACAGTAAAAAAAACAGTTAACGTTTAAATTATTTTTTAAACTGTCACGTGACAAATTTGACGATGTTATTGCTTTATAAAATATTTATGACGTCACGACCGCAAATGATTGTCCTGGCATGATGAATTATTTAACGGGACGAATGGGTGGTTGGAGTACATTTTTATTAAAATACAGTTCATAAACTCAACTCCTACTCTTGCACGTTCAGTGTAGTCTGAATTCGTGAATTTGTTCGCGAAACCGGAAGTTTAAACGGAAGGTTAATAGGTTAATTTTCATGTTTAAATGCATTTAAATTTGTTGTTCATTTGTCTGACAACAAACACTAAATAAATAAATAAATTAAGTATAGAAATTATATCAATTTCAGTTGAAATAATTGCGCAAGAAAACAGTGAAGCAAGGCAAAAAGAGAGTGAGAGAAGGAAAGGGAGAGAGAAAAAGAGAGAGAGAAAGAGAGAGAGAAAGAGCAGACAGGCGAGCGGCACATAGATCAGGATAAATGCACGCTGATATAAAGGATGCGTGAATATGTAATGGAGAGCTAACGTAATTGTTTGTTGTTTAAAGCCACTGGAGTGCTAACATGAACACTCGGCTTATAAATGCTTCAGAAATAATTGAACCTGCCTTTTCTTCTTCCCCTTGTTACTTCATTCACGTGTGCATGTGTTGGTTTCGTTGAGAAACAAAAGTGATTGGTTGGTTGATTGAACGTATTGTGTAATTTATGTTGATCGTTTCATTCATAGCTGTGGGCAGTACATGTTGTTTGGTGAATTGTGTTTATGTGTACAGTATAATTGTTTGGCTGTGATATTGTTATGATTGTTTTGTTGGTTGAATGTAATTTATTGATTGGTTGGTTGGTTGGTTGGCTGGCTGGCTGGCTGGCTGGTTGGTTGGTTGGTTAGTTGATTGGCTGGTTGTTTAGTTGGTTGGTTGGTTAGTTGTTGGTTGGTTGGCTGAGGATGGTCCAATGTAGTTGAATGAAATATTTTTTATACATTGATTTCGGTTTTTAAAATCAATTTTTGAGTGTTATATTAAGACATACTGGTACAAATAGACACATTCCAAAAAATGATAATTGAATAATTGAATAACTTAATAAACAGAGTTGAATGAAGAGAGAAATGAAGCGTTGCCACACAAACAAGGTGAACCACACAAGCAAGTGCCATCTCTCATGTACAGTCACATGATACAATTATTAATGCAAATATCCGCGGTACGTTCCTGGCACAGAAGCCAGCCTCCTAACATGCACTCTCTTTCAATTTCGAACCTCACGGACACGTTTAAATCATTATTATTTCATATTCTTTATTGAATAAACTACTTCGTTGTGCCCTGCCCCCTGTCAATGCATCTCTTTATTAGAAAATTTTCACCAGAGTTTGGAAATATTGCGATGGATTGAGCTGTGGAAAGCAGTAGCATGTTATTGTCACGCAAGAAAGAACCAAATGATGGCAACATACACGCTGCGCCACATGTTCATAGTTTTTCATTAAATGGTCTTTTACAAATTTATTAAAATGATTTTATTCAATATAATTCTCCAAAAGTGTTTGTTGGAGTAAGTAATTTTTAAAAAATGCTCTTATAAAAATGTATTACAACTAATTAGGTTGGGTTGTATTTTTGGGTGATGGTGTACGTACATGTAGAAGAGGAATGTCGGATTCTTACGCACATCTTGCAGACATAGGATATTTGAGTATTAATTTGTTTTACAATTACTTTGTCGTTTATAGACATCATCATCTTTTATTTTTCTTGTAACGGATGTATGTTACCAAAAGTTTTCAAAATCGCAGTATCAATTATTTTCACATTCGAGTTTATCCTTCATACGTGTTTGACATTTTTTTTAACTATACAACATGTTAATAAGCCCTTATCGAAACATCTCTTCATACATCCATGAACACAAACATACACACATATCTCTACATAAAAACATACATGCACATGAGCATTTATACATTTTTCTATATACAAACATACATGAACATTTATACATTTTTCTATATACAAACATACATGTTTCTACAAACAAACGTGCATACGTATTTCTATATATAAACATGCAAACATGTTTCTACATACAAACATGTCACAGTACAACTCCACATGACAAGGTCCATTTAATACAAGACCATGTAGATCTCAGGCACTTGCCGTATGTTTCACATGTTTGTACGGAAGTCTGGTATATTCGTACGTGAAGAAGAGTATTTATGTGTGTTTGTGTGTGTGTGTGTGTATGTGTGTGTGTGTATGCATGTGTCTGTGAAAATTAAATGTTTGCTTAAGCGCTCTGAGGCATCAAACGCTGCTTTATGTCTTTCTTTCGCCGAATGAATTATGAACATGTAACCTTTTCTACACGCGTGACGTTGTTTGTTCCATTTCCTTCGTTAGAATTTTTTTTCTTTGTTTTTTTTTGAATATTTTTTTATTTTTTATTTTCTCAATTTTGAGGATGTCACTTTCAAAAGAACCGCTGGCACATTCTTGATCGTCGTATGCATTATTAATCTGACAGTGCAATACTTCTTCGTAGCAGGCACTGCTTCTCGTTTAGAATAACTTTCAGTAGAAATAATATTCAACATTTTTAATTCACGGAATTTTATCTAATATAAATTTATTCATTAAATAGTTCATAATTCATTATCATAAAATAATTTTTGATACAATATTAATTCAGCTTTATAAAACCAACACCTTTACACAATTACCAAATGAATGAACATGTCAGTCGCATCATCGTCAACTATGAAAACATGAACACCATTCCAAACACAACTTCCAAACCATATCATTGCAACACAACGTACCAACCACATCAATCCAGCCACACCATTCCAACCACAACATCTCAAAGCAGCTTCTCCGAACTTCTCGGTGCTGACGAGGGATCAGACGATAATAGCGGCCAGGGAGGAGACCATCGTTCTCGAATGTTCCTTCCACGTCCAGCAACTGAATCTCTTCGTCAACCCTCTCATCTGGGTGAAGAGGCAGCTTAACGAGGAGGTCAAGGTCAGTTGCACGTTAGGTAAATGAAGGACCATGATGACGGTGATGATGAAAGCGATGATGATGGTGATAACGATGATGACGATGATGATGACGATGATGATGACGATAGTGATGATGATGATAGCGAAGATGATGGTGGCGATGATAATATGTGGTCATTATTGTGATGTGATGACGATGATGATGACGATGGTGATGATAATGATGAGGATGATAGCGTTGATGATGGTGGCGATGATGATATGTGGTCATTATTGTGGTGTATGCGATGAATATAAAATTTACTAAAATTCACAAACTATGTCAGTGACGATGATTTTAATGATGATGACATTGATGATAGCAATGATGATGATAATGATGAGGATGAGGAGAAGGAGGATGAGGTGATGTGTAGATGATGTCAATTGGTGAGTGCCGGCCGAAACAATGATCATAATGACGATTGCAATGATCGATGCTTATAAAGATACAGGAGTGATTATAACGGCATCACAACATTTATGGCAGAAAACACGTCAGAATTATATAAACAAGCCATTGAAAAATTCGGAATTTTTAAAAAACTATTTAATAAAAAAATTTTGAACAAAAATTAATTTTTTAGTATTCTTCTTTTTCATGTTTTATTTATAGAAAAAAAATTATTAAAAACATCAAAGTCTTCTATTCAGTTTACATTTTCAATTATTTTTCATTAAGTTTCTACCACAGTTAACTTGCGATTAAAATTGATAAATTGAGTTACAACATCAAAAATGGTGATGAAGATAGTGAAAATAGTGATGATAATTATGATAATATTTATAATCAGAATGATGAATAGGGTATAGCATTGAAATTAGGATGACGACGACGATGATGAACGAGAATGATGTTGATAATATGATATTAATTTAAATGTTACTCATGATATATGATAATGAGTACAACAATAAAATGATAAGGAAGAGAATAATGACATAAAAGGGAGAGAGAAAGAGAGGAAGAGAAAGAGAGAGAGAGAGGAAGAAGGTGGTGGTGGTGATGAAAGTGATAGTTAAAAAGATGAACTGATGGTGGTAACTATAAGGGAAAAATTGCTAATGCAACACAACAGTGCAACAAAGTTTGTTTTCGTTAGTCAGTCAGTTAGTTAGTTCAGAGTTTTTTTTAATAAAACAAGATCAAAATGAATGTTTTTAATTTCCTATTATGTAATGTGGAGAAAAAAAAAACAAAAAAATGTTTTGCCGCATAAAAAGTTGCAATATCTGTGTTTAAGAATTTATTCTTCTGCAATGTGCAACGCTTTAATTGAATGAAATTCTGTATCTCATATTATAAACTACGAAATTTTTTCAAAAGTTTCAAAATTATTGGAAATTAACATGAATAATGCTTTAAAATAATTTAAATGTGATCAGATTAACATCATGAGAAAACTAAAAGAACCATTCGCTGGTACCAAAAGGTTCCTATCAACTATGAGGTCTGATCCACCCAAACACACATTCAGACTCACCATACTCAGTTAGTGATGATGATGATGATGATGATGATGATGATGATGAGATGGCGATGATGATGATGATGAGGAGGAGAATAACGATGATAATGTTGACGACTGCAGTAGTGGTTTATTGATGATGGTGGTGATGATGATGATGATGATGATGTTGATGACGATGATGATGATCATGGTGATGATGATGATAAAGATGATGATGATTGCCATGGTGATGATGATGATGATGATGATGACGATCATTACAATGATGTTGATAACAAGGATGTTGATAATGGTTATGTGGATAATGGTAATTAGGCTGGCTTTAATTATGTCATATATTACATTGTATATAATATTATACATCATTATTTTATTATTATAATATAATATATATAATATAATTGAGTGCATTGTTAGTGAAAAATGACTAGTTTAAAAGTGACAAACTAATTTCCGACCCGTGACGTCATGTTTATAAGCCTTCTCTTCAACCAAACTGCAGTGCGATGCTATGATGCTTACTCCAGCATTCCATTTCACATTTTGACGGTCCATCCTGTGTAGAATTTTACAAACCTAGCCTATTTAAAATAACAAATCAGAAGCACAAAAAGGGTGAAAGCAACGATTTCGAAATTATCAAATGTGTAAAAAAATTTAAAAAAAAAACAAACAAAAAATTAAGGAATATTTTGTTTAAGATGACAAAGAATAGAGAAAAAATTTTAAATCCAATTTTGTTAAAAATTAATCAATTTTTTGGTGTACCACAAATGAAATGCAAACAAAAATAGTAAATTAAAATTTAGGAAATATAAAAGTGACTTCGAAGAAATAAAAATATGTCATTTGTACTGTATTAAATATGTAATTTTATGTGATGTTAGAAAACAAAATAATTAACGCTAAAATTTTATTTATCTGTTAAATTACTCTAAATTAATTGATTTGTTTTTCTCATTTTAATTAATCCGGGATTTTTTCATACAGCTCTAACAGTCGTCGTGAAGTTAATGCATTGTTGCGTACCATTAAACTTTCCTGACAAAAAGAAAGACTTTGTATGTATAACATCTCTACATCTCTCTCTCTCTCTCTCTCTCTCTCTCTCTCTCTCTCTCTCTCTCTCTCTCTCTCTTAGGACGTACGTACCACATACATACATGTATTTTACACGCACGCAAGCAGGCATTGCATCAAACACAGAAAAAAGACATGATTGTCGTTAGAGCTACGAACAAATAGCTTTCGAACCAGGTGATCGCACGATATTAGCTACTAAGGGTATTGACACTTTTGGTGACCCGTCCAAATAGCGCACGACAAAATGAATTCAAAAATTATCACTTATTAATCGTTAATTTTATATATAAAATGGTTAAATTTAAATGCGCTGACACGAAATCATTAGAATAATTGTTTTAAATTATTTTTTTAAACTTTGGAATCAAATTGTAAAAATGATAATCTACTAAAATGAAGCGTTTTGTAATGAAGATTTTGCAGATTTACTGAACATTTTTGCATTGCCAACAAATAAAAAAAATTAACGTCTTTCATGTTTCATTAATTCAAAGTCGACAAACCTATTAAAAATAAAAATGTCGATACAAGAGCGAGCGTAAGACGAAATCAAATGGAAAATAAACCCCCAAGGAGATTAGACAAACCAACTGCCATCCAAGCAATCATATTAATTCTTCCTCGCCGCTACTCTCCCGCTCTTCCGCTCTTCTGCTGTTTCTTTCCTCCCTCTTTCTCTCTCTCTCTCTCTCTCCTTTCTCTCTCTTACTCTTTCTCTCATTCTTTCTTTTTTTCTAATTTTTGCAGTTAAATTATTACAATTATTGACCTTAGTGGAGTTTTTAAACCTAGCATCAACAAAATAACATTGATCGTAATGTTTTATAACATTACGATATGCAAGGAAGATGATGACGTTGAAGGGTAACAAATTGTTTTATTTGATGAAGAAAATAACATTCGTCACTGCTGTCGTAAGGAGTATCCACATTTCCGACACATCCACAATCCACATTTACGATAACAAAGAGCCAAACAAGAATACGAATTGAAAATAAGTTTTACAGTTCATAAGAAGAATGTATAATTTTTTGAAAAAAATATTTACAAATGAAAGTTCATTTTCATTGGATGTTTATATGCTGGGGGAGGCGTATAATTTATTTGTGCAATCAGGAAGATCAGTCAGAGGAACGATTGTTTATTCATTCCATTCATTTATTTTCCGTTATTTTTTCCATTAAAATTTGGTGAACTTTCCACAAATCAAAACAATCTATCACAACAAAAACTTATTTTTAAATATTACATAAAAAAAATCACATTTAGTCATTGAATAAATAAAAAACAGAGGACATAAATAAAAAATATTTTCAATATAATCTTAATAGAAAAATAATCACATTCGTTTATATATCATCGTTTATGTATGGAAAAAGGACGAAATAAATAATTTTTGTTTCCAAGAGCGTACATACCGATTGCAATCAGAAACAATTATTGGCGAAACACACAAGTCGAAGGCTGAACATCAATCCTGCAATCTATACACGTATCTCTATCAGTTTCTCTTCTCCCGTCTGCCTGCTTGCCTGTCCGTCTGTCTGTCTATTCGTCTGTCTGTCCGTCCGTCTGCCTTTTCAATCTTCCGTGTTTTATTCCCACAGTTCGTGTTTTGCTTGCTCAGTCATAAGCAGATTTGTGGATAGATACTACTTTGCATTATTGTATATCATTAATGTATCATTAATGTGTATCATTAATGTAATATAAAGTAGATATAAATAATATTTTTATTTTATTTGGTGATTTTTATTTGTTTATTTTGTTCATTAATTTTTGATGTTATTTGTTATTATTATTATTTTTTTTAAATGCAAACATTTCCATCATGGGTGAAACCAACTCAAACATTTCACACCCACTAAACTATCATAACATCACATTATCACATCACCGTGACATCATACCATCATGATGACATCATGACATCACATCACCATGCCATCACAACATCAGCAGAGCCTCGCAACTCGGCCACTAACATTCGCACTGCATCATATGAAACATGAACCGAGTGAACAAATGAACCCAAATGAAGACAATAACTTTCCAACAGTCACTTTCTGTTATTGAATTTTTACTGTGCTCACTTACACGATACTCACTCACAAGATGAAAAACTCACAAATAATAAAATTCCCTCATCTATTGCGTTATATATAACATCTGCATCCACATTCGAGAATTTAACTAAATGATTGTTAGGATTCTTTACCTACCATTTCACGATTGGGTGTTATCTGCATCGTTCATACACGCACAATACTGTTCATGAAACAAAAGTTTTTTTTCTATCATTTCACTTTTTATCTCCTCTTTATTGTAATGTTAGTAGTTTGGAGAGTGAAGTGCATTGTTTCGTTGTCCTCATTCTGCTTAACTAGTTCCATGTATTTATCTTCTATTTATTAATGTCTATGAGGTATGAGGTATGATTGTATAAATATTTTAAAATGTTGCCTTTTTTCAATGTATCCTTCACTTTTACCAACATCTTTTCCTTGGAGTTGATCTATCTTTCAAAATTCGCTCTTGGAGGAAGCATGGCGTCCATGTTCGGCTTTTTTCGGTTTGTTTCTTATTTCCCAGAATTTGTTTTGATCATTCAACAATGCCAAATTTGTACCGAAGTACTGAAATAGCCGTGCTGTCTATTGTTAGCATTTTGTTTCTCTACTGCTCTTACGTGTCGAAATATATTTTGTAAAGTTTATTACAAAATATTTAACAGTTCATCTGACTTATTTCATCAACACCCAGATTCTTGTATATCTATCGTTGATCAAATGCTAGCGTACGTGTCTAATCTTTGAAAAAGATGTCTTCATGCTTGAAAATTTCATCAAATTTTAAAATTCAATAAATTTATTCAAACCAAATTTAATTATCATACCTGGCTGACAATGTTCAATACTACATGCAACAAACATTCAAACAATCAATTAAATCTTCAGAAGTTATATTTTATAGAAAGTATCACTCACTGAGCAGCTGGCTCTGTAGAGTTGATTCTAAGCAAAAAAAAATAAAAGAAAATAATGGATAACTAAAATTTTGGTTTTTTACAACGAGAAATAAAATAATAATTTAAGTGATTTCAAATGAAAATATTTTGAATAAAATATTAATTCTAAACTTTCTTCTCCATTCTTAAACTGTTCTTCTTCATTTGGTAAGTTCTGTTGGTGTTTTATTAATTGCATAGATGACCTCTCTCTTATAATTAAATCATAGCGTTGGTGGTGATGGCTATGGCGATGATTATGACGAGGACGACGACGAAGACGATGATGATGATGATGGTGGTGACAATGGTGGAAACAGGGCAATAATGAATGGTGACGAATTATGATAATGATTGGTAATAGTACGACATGGGGTGACGAAGATATTATGAAAGTGACGTTCTTGCCGAGAGCTATGTTAACGATGACAATGTGAAAGATTCAGGTGACGATGCCAAAGAAAATGATGATGACGATGATGATGATAGGAACAGATGATGATGATGATGATAACAACAGATGGTGATGATGATAATAATGATAACAACATATGATGATAATGATGATGACAACAAAGGATGATGATTGATCATAACAAAGATGATGATGATGATGATAACAACAATTATAGTGATGATAACAGTAATGATGATAACGGAGATGATGATGAAAATATTATTGGTTATGAAAATGACAACTTTGATGACGAAGATAGATAAAAAAAGCATTCACATTCGAACATTTTCATTCTATTATTGTTTTCGTGGTGACATCCTGACCACTGGTTGATATCAACCAATTAGTCGCCACTATTTTCGATCATAAGTTTGATTTTTATCTGATCTTACAAATGTACAAACAGTTGTCTCGTCACTCACCACAAAACTCATGAAATGCTAACTTTAATAACTGTTGATAACAGCTGAAATCAATGTTCATGAAAATCTGGTTGGTATAGGAAAAACTCGTGTGGTTTATAAACCGATTGAAAACATTCCATAACCTCCACTAAGTCCCACACACGCAAATCTGACGACTCTGTTGATTATTTTTTGCGTTGCAAACAAGTTTACAATTTGATGAAACGTTGATATAGTGGATTATTCTTTCAAAAACAACGATACTTTGTCCTATGTATCGTGTATGTGTGTGTGCGTGCGTGCGTGCGTGCGTGCGTGCGTGCGTGCGTGTGTGTGTGTGTTTCTCATCATGATTGAAATCTGACTTAATTTGTAGGGCATGTTGTCTTTTGTTGAGTGTTGTATTGTTGCGTGTTGTTGTGTGTTGTTGTGTGTTGTTGTGCGTCATGTTTCTTGGGTGTGCAAATGTACGTGCTGTGTTTTTTTTCTGTGACCGTATGCTGAAACTTTGACTGCATGTTATTTAATATTGACTCTTTTGAAGTAATTGTGTGTTCAACGAGTGAGTAGGATCATTTTTTAGAACAAATTTCTATTTATTCAAGCAGTTTTTGAAACTTATTCTACTCGTTCTATCTTTTTGTGTATAGTTTACATCGAAAGATTTCTTGACCCAAATTTATACGTTGAATATGAAATAATGTTGACGTGGCTGGGGTTGTTCGTTCGTTCGTTTGTTTGTCTCGTTCTTTCATTCATTCGTTCATTCAATCATTTGTTTATTTATTCGTTCATTCGTTCATTCATTCATTCGTTCATTCGTTTATTTGTTCATTCGTTCGTTCACTCACTCACTCATTCCATACAGAAAGTATTACAAAGAGACAGAGGGTATCTGTTAGTGTTGGCCATTATATGCCATCACTTGTAAAGATTACAAAAACGTTTCTAATGTAAAACAATGTAAACTTTATATCAAAAAATTAAATTGAGAAGTTTGTTTTGGAGGTTAGACCGTTTTAAAATTTTAGTCCTATCGAAAAAATTATATTTATACAGCTTAACCGATAACTTTAAATAATCCACAATTATTTAAAAAAAATAAAATTTTTTAAAAATTTTTAATTTATTTAAAATTAATTTTTTTACTAAAAATAATAAATAGTTTTGAAAACGCAGTTGAAAATAAAAGCTGCCAACGCCGTGCAACAATAGCAATAGCATGTCAAGTTAGGGCAAAGAAACATTTGGATCGTTGGGTAAATAGATTAAATATTTTTATGCTCCGGTTAACTGCAATTATTTCTAGAAGTGTAATGTTTATTGCTTACAACAATATTTATATTAGTAGCATTGTTGGTGTGGCTAACGTTGTTGTGGCTAGTGCAGTTGCTACTGCGGCTTCTACTGCTGTTGCTGAGATGTCGTTGTTAACGTTGCTGATGTCATTGTTTTTACTGTTGTTTATGTTATTGATTTTTTGTTACTAGTACAATTATAGATATAAATCTCTTTATTTTTCGCGGACAATAAATATCTACTTGATTCATTTTAGTGAAAAATATCTTCTTATTTTAAAAGGATATTTTTTAAATGTGTCATTTAAATGCGTTAAATTTGAAATTAGGAGACTTTCTATAAATTTTCGAAACTTTTCTTAAACTCTCCATATAGATCGGTAGTATTTTAAAAGATAACTTAAATTAAACACGTTTATAAACAAGTCCCGAAACAAATCGTCACATGAAAAACTGAATCCAATTGATGCGTGGATGTGTGTTGGTGCCCTAAAAAACATAGAGACTTTAATGTCTTTTATGATCTAAATGCTTTCAGGAATTAACATCTGTAACGGCTTACAAACAAAATTTTATTTAAATGAACTTTCAAAATCAATTAGTTTAAAAATCAATTATGTTAAAAATATGGAAAAAAATATGAAACTTGCGTTGAGATGCTTGCCGGCTACACGCAAAACAAAAGTGTATGATGCGGTCATGATTCACATGGATTTTCGGTACGCCATGTCACGTCATATCTGCTTATGTTGAAACCTACATTGCAAAAAGAGTACAACTATGAAAAGTAGAGACATTAAACTCATCTTCAAACTCAACACGTTGAACTTAATATTGATATAATAATTTAATATCAACAACTTTTTAGTGATAAAAATGTGACATCGTAAAAAATTAGAAAACTATAAATCTAAATTTGAATTAAAAAAAGGATCATATCTTAAGCAGCCGAATTAATTTAGCGAATTACAAAGACAATCCAACTTGCAACACGTACAAAATAAACAAGAATACGTTTAAAAGTAAGCAGAGTTACTATGGAACATTGGGAGCCGTGGAAAGAGATGATGTGGGCAGACAGCATAAACAAAGTGGACATCAGCAGCAAGCCATCCATGCATGACCATAAAATAAAGGCAGCAAAAGAGAAGAAAAGATAAAAAGGAAGATGCAAGAGAGAGATAAGCCAGGCGACACAACTCAAATGCTCATTCAACTTAACGAAAAGTGCTAAAAAGAAATTATTATAAATGCCAATAATAATTATACTAATAATTGTTATTATAATTGTAATAATAAAAATTTGACCGAGTGAGAGAACGAAAAAAGAAACGAATAAACGCTCAAGTGAAAGAACAAATAATATGAATAAAAGAGAGGGCAAACGATAAAATAAATGAATGAATCTGTTGATAAATAAAAGAGCGATTTATAAAACAAATGAAGGAATGATAAAAAACACAGATGAATGAACGGACGAATAAATCAAGGAACGAAAATGAAAAAGAAATGAATAAAAATAAATGAATGAATGAACAAATAATAAAAAAGCAACATGGATAGACAAATAAACGGATAAGTAAACAAATATATATGTGAACAAACAAACAAACTTTGAAAGAAGCAAAATAAATAGAGAGATAAAATAATTGCACGCTGTTTTTCTATACGCAGCTGATGATTTTATAATGTCTCACTGTCACAAAAAGCAATGAACGAAAAAGAAGGAAGAAAACAAACGAACGAACGAACAAACAAACAAATAGATGAACAAACAGTTAAATGAACGAACAGATGATACAAAATCAAACAAAAATAAACTAACAAAATACGAATGGACAAATAA